GGCTTGTAGAGACCATACCGATTTCTGTTCTGAGCATAAATTATCAGCATTTTTCTATAGTCATTTCAGCCACACATGGAAACTCACCAGCATGCTACCCACCTGCTCCTTGAATGTTCCTTTAATATACCTCGCATTCCTTGGTGGCTAGAGAGTGGAGTGCTTGTTTTGATCTGGTGAAATGAGTTTATAAATTTACTAATCAAATCACTAGTAATTTTGCCCAGTGCTTGAGAATATTTTACAAACATTGCACCCTTCCTCCTGGGCCACCCCCATTTTGCTCCATTCATGCACTCTTTATGTGTTTCTGATGCTGTCAGCACTCAATTTCTAACTGTTGTCACCTTTTCCACATGTCCATTCCTTGCTGCCATTGATTCTCCTCCATTCCATCTCTACACTTCTGCTTATGTGGTGCATCTACACCCAGCCTCCTAAAAAGGCTCTGGACTATGTTCAAGATCATTCTTCTGGTGTTTCCAATGAGGTAAAAACAAATTATTCTCTTTTTCAGATTTCTCTCTTAGGAGCCGTTACTGTGATTCTGAACCATCCACGTTTTAACAGTTGACTGTAGGGTCTAAGCTATTTTGGAAAACCCACCTTCGCATCACTGTGTCATATGCAGTATCGTTGCTTAGACGTTAATTATACCAAAGTTGTTGGCTCTTTTCTGCAATGTAGGTGAGGAATCATTCCAGCCATAACTTTGAGTTGAACTGTTCAACGCAGTCCTGGAGTGTGATCATTAAGAAATCAGAAGTAGTACTCAGTACATATATCAACTGCCTGTTTTAATTAGACTGCACAAAATACTAGACAGAGCCATTTTATCATCATGCTGGGAGGTGCAGAATGACAGTTTAGATTCTTAATTACATGTTTATGCCCCACATTTTCTTAAATTTTATTTTAATTCTTTTCTTTTCCTACATACAATTTGTGGATTTTAGCATCAGATAATATCAAGAATGGGGCTGACAAACAACTGGGACACATGTCACGGTCTCCCAGTTCAACATCCTTGACAGGCATTACTAATCCTTCTCAATGCTGTAATCCAGGCTGCCACTATAATAGATTATAATTGGCATATGAGATGAAATGCATTTGCCATCGCTCATGACAATCTGCTAGGTAAAAAAAATAATGCCAGGCAATGTCAAATTTTATTTGATTTAGTCAAAGAGTGTATGAAAAAGGAAGAAACAATCCAGAGTCAAAGGTTTTTATCCTGCTCTCTGCAAAGAAAAATGAAATTATTTTGGAAAGCATATTTAAACTTACTGGTTGACATACGCAAAAGTGACAGTTTTGCTAAACATCAGCTATATAAAAGCCTCTGTGTGGGAATTCTTAGAAGTAGTTGGAAAGGAAGCAAAGTGCATAAACTAGTTTCACACAGATTTTCTGTGGTCTTAAATATACACAAAAACACTTAATAAATATCTTATTTTCATACAAAAGTCTTAACTTGGTAAAAAAAAAATGTGCAACTAGAAAATAAAACTAAGATACCTATGCTTCAGGGAGTACCACTGACACACAGTGGTGATAACTGGAATTGCAGGCACAGTCAGAAGAAAATATCCAGCTTCCTGAAGCTTCAATTTGCAATTCTAAATTATGCATCACAGTGTATGTTAAAATATATATTTATATATTAAATAAAAAGGAAAATAGAGTAATCAAGAGCATTCCAGGTTAGTGAATGTCGTTATTTCTAGAGGCTTGTATTGTAGACAGTTATATAGCATAAAGACAATCAAATACAACAAGCAATTCTATTCTGTATGTTATGTTACCTTCACATCTGAAGAAAGGGTACCATTTCAACATATGAAGAGCCTAAGAATTCACTTTGGAATTCAATTTGGTCAGATATTTTTTCTTATATTTTCGTCAGATAGTTCTAGGATGATTTTAAAGTGGTTGGTTCTTACAGAAGTGAAATAAAATTTAGAGTCACCATGTCCAACTCACTCATTTTTAAGTCAAAAAAAGTAGAGTCCAACAATTAAAAAAATATATGTCCAATATCACAAGGAAAGATGGTGGCAAGTTAAAAATAAAATATGGATCTCTTAACCTCCACTTCCATGTGGTTTTCTCTACACCATACTTCTTAGCACAACCAAGAGATGTATTTGGAGTTCAAATCTTTCAGAAACAAGTTATTTACTTAATACTATTCCTTGTTAACTATTTGTGTGAAATAAGTTCCTGTAATTAACTTTACACAATAATTCAGGCTAAAAATAGTAGAAACTTTATACATTCTATATGTTATGGTAGTGGGGAAAAAAATCACATACAAAAGCATTTTGCTGATGATTTAACTGATTTGCTATTATCTCTTTGGAATTGAGAAAGACTATTGTGCGATTCTGTAGCATATTACTCTCACATCATAGTTTTTCAGAGTGTAAAAAATACTCTGCTAAGGTACTGGATATTATCTTTAATATCTTTATGTAAAAAATTTCTGGTAAAATTTGTAATTGATTACATATCACCTTGGCTACCATTTATCAAGTGCCCAGCGTATGCCATGAATAAAAGACTTTTTAATCAATAAAACTGAGAAACTGGCATTAATGAAGAACAATTAAGGACTGTTAAGTAAAGTTAAGTCACATGACCATTTAGCAGAAAGAATGCTTCAGTGTCCATACTGCATTAAAATTAACTTAATTTAGGTATGTTAAAATAAGGTAATACATAAATACTCAGTAGATCGTAATAGGTAAAAAAGCTAACCCCTTTTCTGGAGACAATTTCCATTTCAGAATGAGTATCATTCATATAATATCATACAGTGTTTCTCTTAGTCATCTATCTAGACATTTTACTGTTTCTTTAAAATTTAATATTGAACGTTTTTCTTAGACTATACATAAAATCACAAAACTGGTTTCAGTTTATTTTGGATTATGGAAGCCAGCAGAAGGAGGAATCATGTCGTTTCCTTACCTAAGTCTAAAATACATTCAGTTTATCAGTATAGAGACTCCACTTCTTACACTATGTTTTATCTCATATTACAGTTTTGTTTAGGCTCATTCCAAGCTGACAATTCAAAATCTCTGATCACTCTAGGGATGTTCTGAAACTGACACGTTTTGATAATCAACTGTGGTTTATCATTTCTGGAACGTTATGCTCCACACTGGCAGTAACACTCTGAGGCTATTTGGTGTTGCTCTTCGGCAAACTTGCAGAGTTAATCTTTCTAAAGCAGAATATAATTATCTGATTTTATTTGTTTCCGTCTTTGTTTTCCTTTTTATTTAGTGTTTATTTTTTCACCTGTCCAGTGTCCGATTCAGAGTTCGGCAAATTAAGTAATTATGTACATTTGTCAGATAGTGGACCAAATTTATTTCTTCTAATTTTATATTTGTTGAGAACCTAGGAATCCAAATGTTTTCTGGGAATTAAAAATATTATAATGTGCCTTTTCTGCCTAAAAGGAGGAGCGATAGTCTTTTGCAGAAAGGTGCTTTTGTTTGTTTCTGGGCAAGATTCCATTCGCATTCAGTAAGATGGAATTAAATGAAAATATTAATTAACAGAACCAATTTTAGAATTATGCATAAGAGGGCTTGTCAGACTGATCTACATAAAGTATCTCAAAATTATATGCTAATATTTTAATTGGTTAATTGGTGCCAATTTACAAGTAGAAAATAAAGTTATAGAAATAGTTTTTAAAGTGTGGTTTAATTTCCACTAAGTAGGTTTTTAACACTCTGGTAAAAGATTTCTGTGTGATAGGAACTTAAATAAAATCTATCAAATCCTGCCTTTTTGGGTGATGTTTTTAAACTTTCATATGGAAGGATATTTTTAAACTAGAATTTCAGTGCTTCATCAGACAAAAGTTTGTGATAAACAATCAATCATCAAATATGCCCCGAACACATATACAGTCTTACACATATATATGTGTATACATTTTCCTATACATTCTAGACATCACACCACAACTGCTTTTCCTCATTCTGCAGTATCATTTTAAATGTTCGAGAGCTCAAAACAATACTCTGGTTTCTCTTCAGGTCAAATAAACCTTTTGCCTTTTACTAAAGAGCTCAAAACAGATCCTCTCTTGCCTTTTAGATATTTCAGTAATTATTCTATGAGGTGGCCATGGGGAGTAAAAAACTCCCATCTAGTATTTTTGCCTAATAGCTATTTCATTGTACTGTTCAGAATGAAGGAGTATGAAAATAGTGAGTACAATAGGTATTTGGAATTGTGTATCACTTTGTATTATCTATTTTTCTTTGTTCCTAAAACCATGTACAACTGAGAATTTATTTTCTCATGGAAATGTTAAAAGCCCACTTCTCTTTTTTAAAAGGTTATATTTTGGTTCGTTAATCATTTGTTTTAAACTAACCCTCAACTTAACTAATTTGAAAGATGTCAGTCTGTATCTGATTTAAGTATCAGGTAGTTAAGTTTAATTTTAAACCAAATTCAGAAGTAGTATTAAAATACCGTGTCTGTGTTGACAGAGGAAAGATGTCTCCAGTCTGCTCAAATGTTGTACTTTGGAGGTAATACCTGGAAACATGACGAAAAAATTTATAAAGAAGGTTTATGTTGTATAAGGGCCGAATGATGACGACAAATATTTTTTTAAACAACAAACCATTCCTTTATGTAGAAGATTTCTACTTACAGTCTACTTCCTGTAAGACGGAGTAATTAACAACTTTTCTTTTTGCCCCTAGGCAATGTTTGGTTTGTGAATAATTTGAGTTACACAGAGAAATACAGGGCAGCATATCAAAAGAGAAAGTAGATAGGAAAAAGTAGAAATTCAGTTACATATTTCTCTTTGAAAGACATTTTGTGATCAAAATAAATGGTATTTTTTATCTCAATTTTTATAATATTCTTTTTAGGATACCTAATTTAGTGTCCATGGACAAATGAAATTTTGCCTTGGTGAAAATTTTTATGGAACTATTTTTCTATCTTAACAGGCCTCCTTGTATCAATCTTCCATAGACAGAAGCCTAGAAAGACCCACTAGGTAAGAATGTCAATACATTATGCAACCAGAATATTCTATACCAGTGGTTTCTTTTTCAATAGGAATACTATTCAGTGAAGCAATAATGAAGATTATGTTGTCAGTAATTATTATTTTAAGCACCGTACTTTATGACATTGTTTTATTATGTTTTTGCATCACTGTATATGAGCATATTTAAAAATTCATAAAAGCTAAGTGAAATAATTCTGGATTCCTTTACCAAGAAATTCTTCCCTTGACTATCTCCTCTATATCCAGTTTTCTTTCTTTAAATGGGAATTATAAACATCTAATTTTCAATATTATTAGATGATGCTTACGATAGCATATTTGAAAAATTTGTAAATTATTAGAAATTTTCTAAATTATGTTCTATACATATTTGTTCATTATACTCAGACCGCACAAACCAGAAACACTGTTGCAACCAATAAAGAAGGGCTTACTATATACCTGATATTCTAAACACATAAGCATATTCAATCCTTAAGACACAGCGATGAGTTAAGTACTATTCTCCCCACCTTATGTCTGAATACACTAAACTTAGGCTCCATAACTTACCAAGTATACATAGCTAGCAAGGAGCAGAGACAAACTAGAACTGAGCCAGAATAACCTGGAACTAGTCTAACTGTCGCAGGAATCCGCCAAGGTAAGTTCTGTTGATAGGCTTTAAATATCACACTTACTTTAAAGCATTACAGAAATTCAGACACAGCTCGATAGCAATAGTGAATAATACAAACCCTTAGCCATATTGTATTATCAACAAGAAATATAAATTTGCCCTTCTATAGATTTCTATCAAGATAAGTCAAAAACTTTGTAAACTGGGTCCTTTGTAAATTGGGTTCATGAGTGCCAGTCACTGACATCAATGTCATTAAGAAAAGAGCTCCTGCAACTCCTTTTATATCTGTATACACTCCTAAAATATTTGAGTTTCAGAGTTCTAATCTGACCTAAGATTGCTAGAAAAACTGTGCACAGACCCTCATGTGACAGGAGAGTGACCGCAAAAACAGGTCTAGGAGAAGACGGGCATCCTCTTTAGAAGAACAAAGACAAATTCTGAGGTCCAGCTCCATCTCTATACTTGCAAAGTGTGTGTTGCGTTGACTCATTTGTGAAATACTGGTAACCGGGTACACCTCACAGGTTTGCGTGTGGGCTATACAGACAGTAATGGCAGCAAAGCAATAGTGTATTGCTGCCTCATGGGAGCTGGTGTTGCTGTTACTGCTGTTGTTGATATAATTTTATGTAATGATCATCGCACGCTGTGTGATGTGTATCTTCGTCCACTAGTGTTTGTCTTAAATGATACTATATTCAGATCCAGGCCATGATAAAAAAAATTTCCTGCCATTACAGACTGTTGACGCCATTTCATACAGCTAGGTGCAAGTCTCCCTTAATAATTTGCTTCCTGGTCAAATTATTAGTCATTCATCATTTAAATAGGAAAATGTCAGAATTTCAGGGTAAGGGTTTTCAAGCTAAGATTAGTAGGAAAGGCCATAGGGAAACCTGGAGGTAAGAGAAATTTGTCTCACTAGATGTCTTCCTTTTCTCCAGTCCTTTCCTCCATGTCAGCATGCCTTCCCCAGGCAGAGTCATGTTGTTGGAACCCCTCTTTATGGAGAAAAGATACATGACACAAGTCATAACACTGAATTGTCAGTCACAATGTATAACACCAATTGGAGGATTTTTCCTTTAATATGTTACTACAAACTTATGTCTACACCAAACAAATGCACATGGATGTTTATAGCGGCTTCATTCATACTGCTAAAACTTGAAAGCAACAAGGATGCCCTTCAACAGGTGAATGGATGAGCAAACCAATGCATCCATATAATGGAATGTTATTCAACAATAAAAAGAATGAGCCATAACACCACAAAAAGGCATAAAGAATCTTAAAATTGGGATACTGCGCAGAAAACAGCCTTAATATAAATCATGGACTTTCATTACATTGAATAATAATAAATCAAGATGGTTCATTTACTGTAACATATCACAGTGATAGAAATGTCAATAACAGGAGGAACTGTACGCACCAGGAAAGGGAGTGTGTGGGAACTCTCTGTATTGCCCAATCAATTTTTCTATAAACCTAAAACTTCTCTTAAAAAGAATAAAGTCTCGGGGCACCTGGGCTGGCTAAGCATCCGACTTCGGCTCAGGTCATGACTTCGCAGTCTGTGGATTCGAGCCCCGCACTGGGCTCTGCGCTGACGGCTTAGAACCTGGAGCCTGCTTTGGATTCTGTGTCTCCCTCTCTCTGCCCCTCCCCTGCTTGCACTCTTCCTCTCAAAAATAAATCATAAACATTTTTAAAAAATTTTTAAATAGTGTATGAATTTTTTTTTTATTTTTTATGTTTTTATTTTTGAGAGAGAGAGAGGGAGCATGAGCAGGGGAGGGTCAGAGAGAGAAAGAGACACAGAATCTGAAGACAGGCTCCAGGCTCCGAGCTGTCAGCACACAACCTGACGCGGGGCTTGAACCCACGAACCGCGAGATTGTGACCTGAGTCAAAGTCGGATGCCTAACCGACTGAGCCACGCAGGCGCCCCTAGTCTATGAATATTTTTAAAGAGATGAGAAAGAAATAACATTTAATAGCAAGGAATGAATTTTTAAAACTGCAGTTCGAGGGAACAGAGGTAAGAGTTGTACCACAGTCACTAGCACATTCCATCAGTCTTTCTGATTCACACGCTAACCTCCTCTAACACCAGCCTAACTGAAGATGATCTCTTCTTTTAGTGCCATGAGCATGGCCAGTGACTTCAGGAAAAGGAGGAAGAGCGAGCCTGCAGTGGGGCAGCCGAGGGGCCTGGATCAAAGTGCACGCAGGACCGGCCCCGACCGAGCGGACCTCCCAGGGTCAGGCGCCACCCTGACCAAGTCCTTCATAAGTTCCTCCCCATCTTCCCCATCAAGAACAAAAGGTGAGCAATCATAGCTTGACGTGTAAGGAATTTACTAGCTTTGTTTTAACCTAGGGACCTGTGACCCCTGGGCCAGATTACCTGTCCAGAGAAAGTTGGCATTTAAATACACTGTCTTGAATACAATATAGTTTCATAATAATAGCTTTTTTTTTTTTTTACACAGACTAGGTCAGTTTGGTGAGCCATGTGAGTGGCTTAAAGGTCTCTATCATCTAGCATATTTAATGCTTTTTTTCCTCAAAATGTATCAGTTGTGGTTTTTTGAACAAATTTAGAGTATCTAATTTACTGTCAGGCCATTAAAAGACTACATTTATAAATATCTGCATATTTTAAAAAATGGTCTAAAGTTACTACAACTAGCAAAGTTAATCACGTCTATAGAACAGGAATTAGAAGTAGCAACAAAGAACACTGTTGCCTAAAACAGTTTGATTTTGTTGTTTTTTTAAAAATTATTTAATTCTAGATAAAATTTTGTCCGACCTACGGAAGTTGTCTCTTTCATCACCTGTTCTGTATTTTGGTCAAAATTCATATAGATAGTAGAATATCCATGTTATGCATGTAACATGGTGTTTGATTCCCAACAGTCCACTAATAAGAACTGACTGGTCTCAAGCCATACTTGGAAAATTTAGATATCACCAAGCCATTTTTCCATATGGCCTCTCTCCTCTCTGGAAGTTCAGTGAGCTGTGTTGAGAGAGGGCAAGTCTCTCCTTCAGGTCTCCGGAAGACTGTTTAGTGCATTGTTACTGTGGTAACAGGAATATTCCCAAGATGGAGACTGAGGATTGACCCAGGATCGACAGGTACCTAAGGACATACCAAATTTGGGGCCCTGAAATCTTCCCCAATCTCCTGGGACTGAAACAGAACACAAAAGGAATCGGAAATGTGTAAAGAACTTGATTTCTAACTGAAGTTTCCCTTAAATAGCAGAGATTCAGCCACACATATCAAATATAAGCACGAAAGTGTTGCCATACGGTAAAGCTAAGTGGTAGATGGTTTGTGTGCAAGAAAGGCTGGTTTGGATGACTAGACTCCGGATAGGTCAAGGGGCTAGCAGTCTTCCATGGCCTAGTAAAACTGGGCCTACTATCTGGAAAGTTCAGAATGAGTGAGCCCCTTTTATGATACCTTTCATCCAATTAACAGAGATATGTTTATCAGATTCCATTCATTTATGCAAATGAATATTTTAAGATAAAATAAGTAGGGCATGAAATATCATTGATTCATTATGCTTGGATAACACTCAAAATTAAAAGGATTCTAATTTAGATATTTGTCTTTACCCTAGGAAGTGTTAAGTCAACTTCCTTTCCCAAATATTATGTATCTGCTGGATGTGCTTATCTACTTTTGCAAAGTTTGGATAAGGTTGTAAGGCATGAACTATCAAGAGAGAGATTTTCCTTCATCAGATTTCCTTCTAAGATGAAAATGTCTCATTGGATGTAATTTGGCCTCTCATTTATTAGTTAACTCAGCAGAGTGAAAGAATATTTCCAAACAGATTCCAAACTGAAGTCAGTGTTAGCTATTATCAAATTGCAAATTATTTTTTTTAAAAAAACAACCTCCTTCAAAAAAAACTAAGATGTATTGACCTCTGATGAGAGTTTTATACTATATCCAGTTATTATGAGAATCTGCCTCACAAGAGGTTGAAAGTAGAGCAACTAATGTGGCAAATTTGTATGTTTAAAGAGGCTGTACTATTTTTCTTGGAAAAATATTAACAGCAGTAGTTCACAGCATCCTGATTTTGCAAGTTTGGAAAATACTTTATCTTATTGCTTTTTCTATCTAATGCCCACGAAAAGTTATTTAACACAGTTATGGGACTGGTAACTGAATGCAAATTGATAAATTACTCTTTACCTCTCTACCATTATAAATCAAATGAGACTCAAATCCTGACCCTATTTAGTTGATTAAATCTCTACCACTTTTGGCCTTAACCCTTAAACATTTAAATTACACCAGGCCATGCTATTAGCTTCCCAGGTACTATTGAGGTTTTGGCATACCTCGTTTGCAGAAGATGTATGAACACAATACAAATAGGTATCAAAACTACGCTAATTACTTTTTATACATGGTTTTGCGAACTCTAATATCTGCAAAGCTACATTCATTGAAAAAGTTATTAACCTGCTTTAGAATTGGGATTTTTCTCTAAAGTTGAAGCTGCATGTGTAACAATCTGTGTCCGAGACTAAACCATACTAACTGCTTTCCCTTTGCTATGCTCTCTGATGCTAATTGACGTGCTCTCCTCTTTGTGAATCTTTTAACTTCTCCAAATGTCTCTCTTCCACCACGCTGGCCTGGATTAAAAGGTGGGGATGATATGTGTCCATCCCTTTACAGTTACTCAGGGCTCCACGGCAACCCCTCCAATGAGTTAGATTACTGTAATGCTTACAAGAGACAGCATTTGGATGTCCCTCGTGACTCACAGAGGGCCATCACGTTCAAGAATGGCTGGCAGATGGCCCGACAGAATGCAGAGGTCTGGAGCAGCACTGAAGAGACAGTTTCCCCCAAAATCAAATCCCGTAGCTGTGATGATCTCCTAAATGACGACTGTGACAGTTTCCCTGACCCAAAAGCCAAGTCAGAAAGTATGGGCTCCCTCCTGTGTGAAGAGGATTCCAAGGAAAGCTGCCCTGAGGTCTGGGCGTCCCCCTACATCCAGGAAGGCCGCGGTAATGGCAGGTCGAGGCTCCGACACAGGTCAGCCCATGACGCCCCAGGGTTCCTAAAAATGTACAAGAAAATGCACCGCATTAACCGCAAGGATTTGATGAATTCCGAGGTGATTTGTTCCGTGAAGTCGAGAATCATGCAGTACGAAAAGGAACAGCAGCACAGGGGCCTGCTCCATGGCTGGAGTCAGTCATCCACTGAGGAGGTGCCCAGGGACATGGTCCCCACTCGCATTTCTGAATTTGAAAAGTTGATTCAAAAGTCAAAATCCATGCCAAATTTAGGAGATGATATGTTATCTCCTATAACCCTAGAACCTCAACAAAACGGTTTATGTCCCAAAAGGCGGTTTTCCATTGAGTCTCTGCTGGAGGAAGAAAACCAGGGCAGACATCCTTCCCATGTACAACGAAGCTACGAGCCTAAAGCCCTGGTGCCAATTCATATCGAAGTCACCAGTGACGAGCAACCGAGAACTCACATGGAGTTTTCCGACAGTGACCAAGATGGAGTTGTATCTGACCACAGTGATTACATCCACGTGGAAGGATCATCCTTTTGCAGTGAGAGTGATTTTGATCACTTTTCTTTCACATCTTCTGAAAGTTTTTATGGATCCAGCCACCACCACCACCACCATCACCACCACCACCACCGGCACCTCATCAGCTCCTGCAAAGGCAGATGCCCAGCCTCCTACACTCGATTTACCACCATGCTGAAACACGAAAGAGCTAAACACGAAAATGCTGAGGAGCCCAGAAGGCAGGAAATGGACCCTGGCCTTTCTAAACTTGCATTTCTAGTCAGTCCCGTGCCTTTCCGGAGGAAAAAGAGTTCGACTCCCAAAAAGCAGACTGACAAGGCAAAATGTAAAGCGTCTGTATTTGAGGCTCTGGACTCTGCCCTTAAAGACATCTGTGACCAAATTAAAGCTGAAAAGAGACGGGGAAGTTTGCCAGACAACAGTATCTTGCACCGTCTTATCAGTGAACTGCTGCCAGATATTCCTGAGAGGAACTCATCACTTAAAGCTATAAAAAGGAGCCCCATGCACCAGCCTTTCCACCCACTGCCTCAAGATGGTGCTATTCATTGTCCATTGTACCAGAACGATTGTGGGAGAATGCCTCACAGTGCCTCTTTCCAAGATGTGGACACCACCACCACCAACTACCACCACCAAGACCATGAGGGTGCACGGAGTCTCCAAGGTGGATGAACTTTTCTTTCTTTTTCCTTGTGATTCAGATACCCACCATCCAGCTCTTTCATCTTCCATTCCTACATCTCATCATTCCTAAGCTGTGAGACCACTTGGCATCGTTATGTGTTTTGGAGCAAATGCTTGTGGTGCGAACATGTCTTCCTGAATAGTCTCATTTGCCCATGTGATATTCGGACTTGATGTGTGGCTTAAAGTGATCATCAATTCACAAAAATTTACTCATTCAAAATCAAAAGGGAAAACCATCCTGTAGCTTAATGTTAGGGTTGAAACAACTTTCATCAAAACAACAAATTAAACTTATTTTACCAATTTAAAAGGATCCCATCAAGGAAACGATAATTGAGTATCAGTATCCTTAAGAGACTGATGACTCTTTCTTGTCATAAAATGAATCAAAACCGATAACTTAATAGCTTTTTCCTTGATTTTTATATTAACTTCATAGTCACTCACTCACAATAAATAATTTGCTTACATTCAACATAAAGATACTACATCAAAACACTCAGGAAGCAAAACAGAAATATTTAATGCAGTAATTGATGGACAATGAAAAGAGAAAAGGATTTGTTGAACAACCTTTAAAGGGCACGTGGGATAAAATTTTTGTGAATACATCTTTAAGCTGTATAGACAAATGTCTCATTTCCATCACTCAGTGTGTTCATTTTCTTTTTCTTTCCATTACTTTATTTTCTATTCCTGCTGAAACAATCTTATACTGACATTTGTATCAGACCATTTAGGTTAAAAGTGACCCTTAACTCCATTTTTGTAGATGGATTATCACCTTGAAGTGGCAACACAAGGACAAATAATAGTTCAAAAGCAGAGGACATTTTTTTGAGGTCTGTTAGGGGTTCTGATATTTTTATGCAATTTTTATACAATTCCTTTTTTTTATTCTTAAAGTACATCTGTTCACTATCTAAGTTTTCAGAAGCTGAAAAGAACATTCCCTGCTGGAATTTGGATTGTCAACAGTCTGCTATGCACTGAGCATTGCAAAGTGCTCTACACACACTATCTAATTAACACTTTCAAAAACCTAGGTGACAGGTATCATTCCAAGCACTGGTTTACAGGTAAGACCCAGGGAAGACAAGAGATTTGACAAAAATCATTTAAGGATTAGGTAAAAGAAAAGAGATGCAAACTCCTAGTAATTCAGAGTTTGTAGTATACAATATAATCTCTGTGGGCAAAAAAAAAAAAAAAAAAGACAATGAAAATTTCATATTAATGTAATATGTGTGACTCATTTGTTAGCTGCCATTGCACAAATTTGCTTCTTTTATCAGCATGTATCTTTGCTTTCATTTATACCATACAACATGATAATCACCTGTAAATTTTATGTACAGATAGAGTAGATTATTGAAACATAATCTGAGAGGGCCTTGAAATGCATTTGAAGGGTATTTGTCTTTTAATAACATATCTATTTTCCAATATTGTTTAGCCCAATTGAAAAATAGTTTATATTCCGTGTATTAGTAAAAGTAATTTACAACTTGATGATCAGTATGAGAGCTTTCTAATCATAAAAGTATCTGAATTTAAAACAGAAGATATATGACACATAGTCCTCTCTCATGCTTGAAAATAGCTGATTAAGTTTTACCTGAAACATCTGTGGCCATGTTACCTTACTAAATCTAACGACTTTAGAATTCATAACTGATATGATAATTCATATCCTTATATGTCATGTGACTGGTATCCAGCTGCTGTTAAGTAGACAATTCTTTCTTAGAGTCAAAGTAGTCACAGTCTTTAAGTAATGTCTTCTTCTTATGAATAGCATTTTTAATTCCTTTACAGTTGGAATTATTTTATTTTTAATGGTTCTTGTTAAGCAATATAACTAAATTTATTAGAGGGATAAGAGAAAGAATTTACGGATTTTGACCCAATTATACTGGTAAAATTCTAGAACAGAGACTACTGGGATATTCTTAGCCTCTAGTTACATTTCCACATATAAATGTGTAAAGTGTAAGTAACCATTAAGCGATAACTGTTTTGGGGATGTAATTATTTACACTGCGCTTTAAGATGAACAAAAATAATTCAGTGTTTCATAATAGTTTGACAATCAATAGGACATTTGCTGTTTAGAGAATTTTTATCCCTTTGTTTCTTGGAATTAGTATATACTTTCTGATAAGGCAGTTGGACAAAAGGGAAGGCAAAAGATAAAGGCCTTAGGATGACATCTTAAGACTCAGTAAGTATTTAACAATAGGGTGGGGGGCACAGGGAAGACCGGGTGTGTAGGGATGGGGGGTGGGGGATGGACATAACCATAGTTCTGCCATCATCATGTTTTACTTTTCTTTTTCATTATGACATTCTTAAATTGTTCTGTGAGATGTATTAGTTTTGTTAATCATTGCTATTTTCTAATTCTCCATCTTCTATAGGTCCTATACAAGTAATTATAAGTTTATTGATTTTGAGTACGAGACAGAGTGGGTGTGCATGAGCAGTGAAGGGGCAGAGAGATAGAGAGAGAGAGAGAGAGAGAGAGAGAGAATCTCAACCAGACTCCATGCTGTCAGCACACAGCCCAACTTGGGGCTCAAACTCACAAATCATGAGATCACGACCTGAGCTGAGATCAAGTTGGACACTCAACCGACTGAGCCACCCAGGCACCCTCTGCCCTTAAAAGTAATTACAAACTGGAGGCAAAAGGAATAGAAAGTATTAAATCTCTGAGATGAGAAATCCCTGCGAGTATGAATTGTCTATAACGGGTGCTGCAGCATAAATATACCAGCAATGTAACAATTACATGTGTGATTATAACACTTCTGCAACCTCCGATATTTTCCCCTTTTGAGATGCTCTGGCTTTGTGTCTTCTATCATAACTTTTTAATTCACCTATGAGTTTTATACCCATGTCTTCTATTGTGGTGTCTCTCTAAATCCGACAGAGGAAACAGTTGCCACCAGAGAAAATGGCTAAAAAGGTCGGGTTTTTATTATGTGGACACTCACTCTGACCCTGTCCTTTCCCACAGACCACGAGTCCCCTAGAAGTTATTCATCCACTATGACTGACGTGGGGAGAAGCGCATCGAGGGAAAGAAGAGGAACTCCAGAAAAAGAGGTAGTTTGTTTAATAGCACTGGAGTCTTTTTTCTACAGCACATTTGGTAAAGCACTTGTCAGCCAGAGTTTTTTCCAAAACCAGTAAAGAATCCAGGTCAAGAACATAAAAATGACAAGAGAGAAACTAGAAACAGTTTTCCCGGAGGCTGAGCAAAGGACTCTTGGCAACACGCACCCCGATCCTCTCTGTAGCTCTCCCCCAACTATGGTCCAGTTTCGGCAGCAAGGCCTCTCTGCGTCTTGACCAGACACCCATGAATTAACACCTGTGCTCTGCGAGAGTGGTGAGCTGGGCTGCCCCATGGAGGAAGGAGATTTCCCAGTACAAATTTCCCCACTGATGTAGGGGAGATCTCTAGGTCACCTGTATTGCAAATCAATACAAATTTGACATGATTTTTGCTGGCCTGCTTTTGCTAGAAGCCACCCTTGGAAAATCACTGCTCCTAGGAACCAACTACCAACTATCTCTTTGGGCATGGCTCCGAGCCAAGGCTGGAGCTCTGGTTCATGCTATCTTGGAGCCATGAAGGTTTGACGGCAACTGAAAACTGGTCTGGGACTGGCAGGCACTCCAGGAGAATCACTACAGGCTGTCTCCGGCAGTCCAAGAACCCGTGGGACCCCCGAAGAAGTTAGGAATGTCCCAGGCTGCCTAAAGTTCACAGAATCACAAGGAAAGAGAGTGGGGTGAGGAGATAACTGAGCACTAGAAAAGGAAGAGCCGGAGTGGCTAGCTAGGGGCTGCAGGGTGACCGAAGGTAAGTGTGTGTCACATCTTATCATGACTAAAAGATGAACGGCTGATTTACCGTGTTGCTAAAGAATTCCTGAACCCTCTAGGGAATGCAAGACGACCAAGCCTATACTTTGGGCCACAAACTAGCTTCCCAATGAGAATTGGGCTAATATTTCTTTGCTACTATGTTAATAATTGTTTAGTAAAAGGGATGATGGCTTCCTTCCTTTTTTCCAGTCCTTTTATTATGATTCCAAAGGAGTTATGTTAATACGTAAGACACAGAGCAGTTGACCCTCTGTAACTGTCCCAGGAAAAGCCAGAATTATCCCTGGGACAGAGCCCTCTGGAATTGTATTCCCCTATTACTGTGTTCATCTACCTTAGTTTCTAAGAGGAAATATGATATTCAGTAATTACAGTGAGCAACCCATCTATTAACACTCCTGTTATAGCTTAAATACCTGAATGAAGAACTATTTGGTTGACTTATCAATTGAGTAGAGGCTTTACATTATATATGTTTAGTCACTACTCATGCTTTCATTTCCCTTTAACTCACATGAAATTGCTTTCTTGTCAAATAAATCCAAATTTTAAGTTAGCACTGTTTACTTTGTCTTTCAGAAACTGCCTGCAAAAGCTGTTTACGATTTTAAAGCCCAGACATCTAAGTAAGTAAGATGAGTATTCATTATAAAACTCAAGCTGGCCTTAAATACTGTGGTAATACTTTAAGAGGTAAATATTATAATGGGCTGTATTACAAATAAGGTCTAAGTCCCAATTCAGCCACTTCAGCAATCAACTGTAACTAATGGTGCCTTCACAATTAATTGGGATAGGGCTAATTTTATTTTCATTTCAAATTTATTTGAGAAACACTGGGTTTCAAGTGACACTAAACATGTTAGAGCACCATGAGTTCAAAAGGACAGGGAAAATAAAACGGAATTAAGAATCTTCTTTTCTAGAGGTTTTGCATCAAGAATAACATAAAAATACAGTGTTGGGGAATAATTAACACTAACTGAGAGAATTTGATAACATTTATTTATCCAACTACATCCAGGATTGTTTGTGGAGTTGGAGGGATATTGATGTTAGTGTTTTCATACTCCTTTGTTGAAGTATTTTTTTAAACCTTTGTCCTTAGGAACTTGTACATCAGATGGGCATGTGTTTAAGAAAAGCTAGTCCTAAGCACATAGGAGACTTAAATAGGAGAGAGTCTTCCATTTCTGTCATGGCCCATGTGTACAAACTTTATTTAAGAAACTTTTGTCTCCATTAGAATTGAAGATCTCAAATCATTGTATATTGGCACTAAATTATCCTTTGTTGTTTAGATTGAACATATATAAGAACAAAATACTTTATTTATAAAAATGCATATTATATTAATAATATAAGACATATAAAAAGATAAAACCACTCAGAATTTGGTAATGCTGATAAGATGGAGAGTGAAATAAGTAGGAAAATGCTACTTAGAAATTCAGATGTTGGGGCGCCTGGGTGGCTCAGTTAGTTAAGCATCTGACTCTTAGTTTCAGCTCAGGTCATGATCTCACAGTTCCTGAGTTCAAGCCCTGCATTGGGTTCTGTGATGAAAGCACAGAGCCCACTTGGAATTTCTCTTGCCTCTTTCTCTTCCCCTCCCCGGCTTGCTCTCTCTCTTTCCCTCAAAATAAATAAATAAATAAATAAACAAACAAACATTTTTTAAACTTAAAAAAAAAGAAATTAAAATATCAAATATGGCTTAAATCTGGTATTTAAAAAAATTCCTGAAGAAAAGCTTACATCTTTTCTCTTTCTTTGATAAGATAACTAACACCTGCTTCGTTTCAACTATCTTCTCATCCTTGTTACTGCTCTGTGGATATAGTGCGACAATGTGTATGATGCATGCCGATTTTATGAAAGAATGATACAGAACATGTAAATTTCATTTCTTTTTTTGTGACAAGCAATCAAAAGCTTTTTAAAATGTATGAACCCCTGAGGAATGACAGGGATACAACACAGAAAAGGGGTCCACCCAGGGCCCATAGCTTTTTGAGAAGGCTCATAAAAAACAAGCAGTGAGAGAAAGGTGACTTGTAGTGCAAGTCGGTGTATTGATTGTGTCACTGGATTTTGTTTGCTACAGTTGCCAAGCCTTCCACCATCTTCCAAGGCCATGTCCTCCTTGTGAAAGCTCTGAGTCAGCAAACGTTCCAGACTTGCAAATGGCACGGCTCTCTCTGAAGGGTTACCTGCACCACCACCCCCCTTTCACAAAAATCTTCTTAAACCAACACGATCTAATTGTGTAAGCCTTCAGAGAAGTCAGTTCAATAATCACTCATGGAAGCCATTCCATAATTTTAGTAAAAAAAAAAATGTTTCCCACATACCATACATACATTTATCTGACTGCAGCTTAATCGTATTCCTCTTGTTCTGCTCTCTGGAGATGTAAAGAGCACTTCCCAGTGCAGTTAACCTATTTGACACAAAAATCAAGGTTCTGGACGACTCGAGCAGCTTTAAAAGTCTCACACACCCAGAAGCACCACTGTTAGCAAAGGCCCAGACACATTTTTATGTGTTTTTAATTAATAGCTAGATGTGAGTGCTTTTTTGTGCCTAACATCTTATAAACAAGAGACAGACACATCTGCTTAAAATAAATATCTGTTTTAAAAGCTATTTGTCTTTACCTAATGCAAAGAAGTTTAATTTTTTAAGAATACAGCTACCGATACAGCTCAGTAACTCACTAAACATAATGTCTCAATTGTTAAATAGGAAGAAGAAATAAAATGTCATTTCCAAAGGTTGTCAGTGGCCACTATTCAAAAGGGGTTGGGGAGGGAGAAAGCAAGCTTACTATAACGTGACTCAGAAATTCTGGGTCTGAGATGAAAGGGACACAGTTTTGAAAACTGTTAAGTGAGATTTCCGTCCTTTATCTAGAAGGCTTAAAATGTTTAAATATAAGCCTTTAAAAATAGAAAAGATTTCTTTTCGTATTTAAAAGAAAAAGTTTTCTGTGAGTGACAATTTTTTTTAAAAAAGCTAAGCCTCCTAGTCTCATTTCCAGAAATGAAACACACCTGGTACTAATAAAACTGTTGGATTGTAAAACATTAAATATTTTGGTTTTCGTTTTCTACATCAGGCACTTGCATAAAATAAAGGAGAGCTGTATTTGAATGTAAACCTCCATGAATCTCCTTGTCTTTAGGGTTACTGAAAATTTAACACGCTTTCAATGTGAAGATTTTAACACTTCTAACTGTGCAATAGTTCTTTAATATGCAACAGGGTTTTGTTTTTTTATTTGAGAGAGCCCACGCAAGTGGGAGGGGGCATGGGGGGGTACAAAGAGAGAGAGGAGAGAGAGAGAATCTTAAACAGGCTCCATGCTCAGAATGGAGCCCAACTTGGAGCTTGATCCCACGACCCTGGGATCATGATCTGAGCTGAAATCAAGAGCCAGACGCTTAACTGACTGAGCCACTCAGTGAAAAACACAACAGTTTTTCAATTCATTCTTTTAATCAATGAGAGATATGCTACATCTGACATCCACCTCTCTTCATGATCTATTCTGCACATATAAATGATCCAACTCAAGATTCTGAACTGAACAACACAGAAGATTCCAGAGTGGGGAGGCAGATGTGTAGGAAAGTGGGGCTCTTGGGAAAAGATGTGAAATAAGGGTCCTCCAACAAAACATAATTACGAGGACAAAACAATAAACAGACACAATTGCCTGGATAATAACGCCATCAAAAACAGATGCAGGGAGGATGAGAAGGTAGGCATGAATTAGCCAAAATAAGTAATGTTTTTATAACTTAAAATTACATACCCACATTATCCTACTTAGGAAATAAGCAGGTATATAGGTTTCTTCTTAGAAATAACCCCAAAATGGAAAAGCATAGATGGTGTCTTGAAAATACTTTTACTTTTTAAAAACAAGAGATAAAGAAGGCAAGAAGCAATTCATGCATGTCTTTACACTTAAAACATGTTTATGTCTGTGCTCCATTGAAAAAACCTCTTTCGTTACACAAACTAAATTCCTTATCAAGATATGCCAATTAAATAAATGCCTGACAGCCAGCTTCAAAGACCTGTAAATAAAAATCTTTCTGATGACAGCACTTCTGTGCTAAAGCTAACTATTTATTTTTCTCTATTGTAAGCTTCAGCACATCAAAAGAAGACAGAAAGAAAGAGAAGTTAAGGTTCTGGCTAACTCTCTCACTAGCTTCAGGACAAACAAAATCAGTGCAGAATGATTCTATCATTACGCCAAGCCTAACAACTCCTCCACTATAAACTAATGATTACGTGGCAATAGCCCATCCTTGCCTTTCAATTTCATATCAATTTGCCTGTGACTTATATCAAATGCAAGCGTTCTACTTGTTCTTTTTTTTGAAATCACTTTTAAAGTTGTAAGTGAATTCTAAGAGTTTGCAAGGAAAATCCTTAAATAACAGGGCTTGACAGATTATTTCTATTGAAAGTATATTTCTCAGCCAAATACAGATTGAGTGAGAGTCTTGATCTTAAGAATAATTGCTATACATCAGGGGGTAAAAAAAAAACCACTGAAACATGTCTCTTCCAGGGAGCTGTCATTTAAGAAAGGAGATACTGTCTACATCCTCAGGAAAATCGATCAAAATTGGTATGAGGGAGAGCACCACGGGAGAGTGGGCATTTTTCCCATCTCATACGTGGAGGTAAGTCCTTCCCCTTCCCTCCCCCATGGCTGTTGTTTCCAAAGTCGTCACAGATCAAGAATAAATAAATTTTTTCCTCCATAGAAACTCACACCTCCTGAGAAAGCACAGCCTGCAAGACCGCCACCCCCGGCCCAGCCTGGAGAAATCGGAGAAGCTATAGCCAAATACAATTTCAATGCTGACACAAATGTGGAGCTATCGCTGAGAAAGGTACCCTGGCCGTTGTCTTCAACCATGCTTTTGAAAGCCTGTGTATTTTCAAAACTAAAATAGGTTACCTTTTTTTTTTTTTTTTAATTTCTAGGAGAGAGAGAGACAGAGACAGCGTGAGCAGGGGAGGGTCAGAGAGAGAGGGAGTCACACTGAAACAGGCTCCAGGCTCTGAGCTGGCAGTCAGCACAGAGCCCGATGCGGGGCTCGAACCCACGAACCGCAAGATCATGACCTAAGCGAAAGTCGGACGCTTAACCGACTAAGCCACCCAGGCGCCCCTAAAATAGGTTATCTTTTTCCTTCGACATTTTTGTGCTTCTGCCTTGTGCTACAAAGGATTCTATGAGGCCACTGTACCTAGCGCTCCGGCTCCCCTGTCCTTCCAGAAGAGGTCCCCTGGGGGATGCAAAGCTTCTCAGAGAAACTTTCTCTCCAGGCTTAGCGTGGCAGGTTCCACATCTTCTCCAAGGGGCGCCTCAGGCTGCCTATCCAGGAGCTCTACATGTGGAAACATCGAAAGGAAAAGCACTTTCATACACTTCAAAATATTTTTTGTCCTGCTGCCTTATTATTCAAATTTTTAAAAATAGGTGTTCCAACATCTACTTTTATCTTGGAGTCCAGGAATGGTCCTAACATAATGAAAGTCCTTCTGGCTATAAGGCCTTTCTGAGGAGCCATTTGTGCAGGGCTGCTCCCTTGATCAGCCTTCTCGAGGCCTCATGACTGACCCAAATTTCACTAGCAGCCGATCCAATTTTAGTATCTTAATAATATCAGAAAGGATTCTCTTTTTTAAAAATTTTCAATGTTTATTTATTTATTTATTTATTTATTTATTTATTTATTTATATATTTAGAGAGAGAAAGAGAGCACATGAGCATGAGGGGGGGAAGGGGAGAGACAGAGGGAGAGAATCCCAAGCAGGCTCCATGCTGACAGAGCTCTATGTGGTGCTTGAACTCATAAACCGTGAGATCATGACCTGAGCTGAAACCAAGAATTGGACACTTAAGTGAGTGAACCACCCAAGTGCCCCCAGAAAGAACTCTTTTTAATTTGTTTCTGTGCAGAAAGATCAAATGAACTATTTTTGTCATTTGCTAAACCATCACATTCATTGGTTTGAGGAGAGCCCATGTCTGCACAGAGCACAGGCTAGAGAGTCACAGGCAGGGTGGGTGGTTCTAGAGCCTCTTTGCCTACTAGTGAAGCCCTAGCCAGGAGCAAGGAAGGGAAACACCACTGTTGTTGTACTGGCAGAACTTCATCCCATTTTCCCTTCTCTGCCCCGGTTCTGCATCATCAACCGATTGTTCTCGTGGACACAGCATTCCATGACCCATTCCCGCTGATTCACTATAAGAGAAGCTTCTGCCGATGGAATTTATAGCTCAAGCAACAGCCTGGCAACAGCGGTGTACTGCCGAGAAAATCATCAGGGAGATTTACTTTTCTTCAGTTATCTTCCGTGCAGAGGTGGTATGGAACAGGTTCTATAAACCACCAAGCATTTTGGCAAAAGGAGAACTTTCATCCTGAGAACCCCCTGAAGAAGGGGCCCCTGCTGTGCTGAAGTTTGGATTGTGTGCCACTCCAGTGCTCCAGCATCTGCCCAAACTTCATATCACATGCTGGATGCAGCTGCAGAGTTCTTGCCGTTTAACCACATTTTGCCAACTTATTTCTGGGCCACGTGTGGTTTTGAGCTAAAATGGAAACTAGGTTTGTGGCAGTGGCAGGATCACTGCTGGTAGGAGGAATAGTGATTGTAGAAAGTTCTATTCTTGCTAAAGCCAGGGGTTCTATGAAAATGTTCAATGGCCACCAGCCAAACCAGAATGGGACAGTGGTGTTACACTACCTTGAGGCAGACCAGGTGGATGTCCACCCTGGCCACAGCTATGGATTATCTAGGGAACATTCTTTGCCCCATCCTGCTAGCCTTACTCTTTGCTCCTCCTTACCACATGTAGATCAAGGAAGAAAAACAGAATGCCATTCAACTTCTTCCCTTGTGGAGCTTGACTTCTGTAATCCATTTCAGATACCCAACCACAGCGAGCTGAGTTGCACTGTCTTGAAGCTCTTCCTACAGAAGGTCATGCCCCCGAATCCTGTCAATGATAGGATAACGCTACTGTCATTGAGGTTTTCCCTGTTAAACTATTCTGCTTTTTAAAGTAACTTTAGGGGCTCCTGGGTGGCTTAGTCGGTTAAGCGTCCGACTTTCGCTTAGGTCATGATCTCGCGGTTCGTGGGTTCGAGCCCTGCGTCGGGCTCTGTGCTGACTGCCAGCTCAGAGCCTGGAGCCTGTTTCAGTCTGTGACTCTCTCTCTCTCTGACCCTCCCCTGCTCATGCTGTCTCTCTCTCTCCTAGAAATAAATAAAACATTTTTAAAAAATTAAAAAAATAAAGTAACTTTATACAAGTCATTTCACGTGGTACCAGTGTGAACATGTGTAAACCCATTCACATAAACCAAGCATCCGTAGGGGAGATTCTAATGTCATCAATGAATGATTAAGTTGCATCTATGTTGATAATCTGTAATTTGGGAATGAGCTCAGAGACTTTATTTGCATTCTCCTGACAAAAACAAACAACAACAATAAAAACTGGAAGTATCAAACTTTCCCAGATGGAAAACTATTGTTTATTAGAAAATATTGAAAATTACATTTTTTTATGTTCTTGCATCTCTATTTATAATGCATTTCCCTAATGTTCATTACAGGGAGATAGAGTTATTCTTCTTAAAAGAGTTGATCAAAACTGGTATGAAGGTAAAATCCCAGGAACCAGCAGACAAGGCATCTTCCCTGTTTCCTATGTAGAAGTTGTCAAGAAGAATACAACCAAAGGTGCTGAGGACTATCCTGACCCTCCAATACCCCACAGCTATTCTAGTGATAGAATCCACAGCTTAAGTTCAAATAAGGTAAGAAGAAGTTCTAGCATATGAGTGTCATATGGGAGCTTGATGTAAGATCATCAGTATGTGATGTTAAGCTTAGACTAATATATCATACCTATTGCAAAGCCCAAAACATATATGTTATGTTTCTAAGTGTGCGTGCCATGTCAAGTCAATATAACTTAATTTTCCTGAGGGTTGCTAGTGCAAAGGTTTAATACTTGATTTTGATAATTTTATTTTCCAATTAAAAGACTGAAAGAGAAAACATTAGCATCATAAAATCCTATCTGATGTACATCTGTATATATACCATTATATCTGCTTTCTGAAACTCAGTTTTTTTCTGAAGCTTGATTTTATTTTTATATATGCATATTTTACATGGATTATATATAGGTATAAGTAGTATATGTAAGTATAGAATGTATTGATAGGTAGATAGATAGATCCCCAAATGGTTTATTTCAATAACACATGGTACTTAAGTTGACAAAATTCTATAAAAGTCTTGGGGTATTTTAATATAGAAAGAGAAAGAGTAAAATTTTTTAATTAAGGTCTGTAAGTCAGTTTGTTTATTAGTTTGAATGAAAATGTCATTGGTTCTTAGGAGTCCCCAAGTTTATTTTATTGGTTTAGGATGACTTTCTGCCAGATCTCACTTGAACTGGTAGCTAAAAATAATTACCTTTCTCAATATTTAGTTTAAAAGGGGCTTTGCTTCCTGAACTGGTTAGTTAGAAAAGGCTATTCTACTTTCTTTACTTACAGCGTGAAGTTTTTCTCAACTTTGTATTGAATTATAATATATTGTATTCTTTTCATGGACGGTATTTAGGGACTTCTTTCTCTTTTTCAATAACCTTCAAGTGTAAAACTTTAAATTACCAAGAAATTATTTCCAAAATACCGTAAGTACTCCCCAACATCTTAAACATTTTGTTTCTTATAACTTATTAAAAATTTTAATCGAGAACAAGGTTGGGACATGGAAAAATAAACCATTTAGCACTAGCAAAGTAACATCAACATCACAGCCATGAAGTTGTTTCAGATCCCAATGCAAAAGAGCATCCCCAGGGACCTAAACAACTTCTTAAAAAGGAGTCTAGAAGGATTTTATGTATGTAAATGATCTAACAGTCTACTGTCTCAAGAGAAGTACTTTCTTTTAAAAGGGCATTTTATTTATTCTACCCCTCTTTGAAGACTGGGTTTCCATTGCAGGGTAATTGCTCTAAATGCCTTATCATTGGGTAATATAACAATTTGGTAACCCTGGATAATAGACCAGTAATGAGATTTTGTCTGATTACAAAGTTTTCCAGAATCTTCTTTAGTAGGTTTACTTCACTACCAGAGCTTATTTTTAGAGATCAACATCCTTCCTTCAATAGTTCCTACTGACAAAAAGAAAATATCAGAATCTTCATCCATATATTTGTCTTATTTATCATTCAGTCATCTTAAAAGAACTACCAGATGAATTTCAAAATGACCATACCTTCAAATAAAGTATTAAAAGAAAGAATAAGCATTTATCTATAAAGCCTTATTTAAAAAATTCTTCCATGATGTCCTAATTAATATTGGCAATGTAATACTGTAGATTACAGAGTTTTCATCTTTTCTGTGAATACGATTTAAATGTATTTTCAGTTTCCTAAGTGTTTGCTTAGAATATCAGATTTTACATTTTATGAACAAAGAAATTTCACTAAAAACTAGTTAGTGTTTTAGTTTCACTGCTGGGAAGAAACTATGTTGAAAAGCTTATGTCCATAATTTGAAAAAAAAAAAAAAAAGCTTAATGATTTCATCACACCTGGTAATCTATGATATCACTGACTTAATAAGGGAAACTTCTCACTAGTGTTGAACTGAATCATTCTCAAAAAAAGAACTATAATATACTTCTAAGCCATGACATCCAAAATACACTGAATGTTATATATCCTATTTTCTAACTGATATTTGCAAATAAAAGAAGGAACTCATTGACTCATGAATCACTCTGACATACTCAAATCACATTTCTTGACATACTATATTTTAGAAGAGATTGAAATGTAAGTTGATACTATTTCCGATATTTCTGCTTTTTAGTATAGTTGAATTCATTTCTAATGCTTTAGGAAAAAAGGTAATTACATGATTTTTGTATTATAGGTATATTTATGTTATGTAGGAATCTCAGATACTTAATTTGACTTTTTGTAGAAGCAAGTCCATTGTAACGCTAAGCACTTTGAACCTCTTAACATGTATATTGGTGACCACGGTGGTAATAGGCCAGGAGTAGTAGCAGCAGGTAGTAATAGTGATAGTGGCAGTCATGACAATAGTGGGATTTAAAGGTCTTTCTTCCTCATCTACATAATATTCCTGACCATGAGAGAAAGTGAAAGTGAAAAGCAATACTCTAGAATTCTTATGCATTTCACATGTTTTCAAAATCCATTATTGTGTTACACAGCAAAGAGCATAAAATAGAACGCTGGCCAATAAGAGAGCTTCTGTAGACTATCAAATGAGACTTGGCTAATTTCTGTCTTATTAAAAACTGAACATAGGGCTATCTGTCTAGTAACAGACCACATGGAGACTCTCACTTTATATCAGGTTCTAGGCAGACTAAAGACCTCCTGAGTCTTCTGTTAGGATGCTCATGTGAGTTTTGAGACTCTTTGCCTTATTTACCCCACCCCAAGGTGACAAGACATCATATTTCCTTAAAAAAAAAAAAATAGCTAGATAAATTCTATTAATGCCCCGTTCCTATTATAGGACACAGAAGTCAAAAGTTAAGTGGCCCTAGGCCCAAGAATGTTGAATGCATGAGTGAGGTCTTAAACAACCGACTAGAAAATGCATCTCCGAAATCTTCCAAACCCAAACCATCTACCTGGAGAGAATGACAGTAAAATGCCATCCACCAGACTGTCAAGGCCTTCCTATGTATAGCACGTAGCATTTTTTCCAGTTCAGCAATAGAATGTCTTAGAATGTTTCTAGGTAGCCCTTCCAGAACTAGTTTTAAGGAATTTCCATTAAAATTCTGTTTTGTTCAACATATCCAAAATACAGTGATAACAGTAAGATACACAGAAGTATATTTTTATTTCAGGAGATTAAGTTTCATAAACTATACTCCACAGGTTTACATAAAAGAATGGGAATCCTAGCAGAAGTTTACTCCCATTAAAATCATATGTTCCCTTTCTATGTAAACACTTACTTTGGATTTTTTAAACTTTGAAGTAGTAGTGATTGTAAGTTTAGTTTCATTCTGATTATGAGTTCCTGTTCGTGGAAAATATTTTTCAGAATCGATTCATTGGGAAATGTGTTAATGTACAAAGATGTAAAAATATTTTATGCCGTATGCTGTAATTACCTTGCAAACTTAAGTGAGAAAATCATGGAAGTTCAAAAGATTTGGCACACTTACAGGAAGAAAGAACAGTAATCAAATTCAGGAAATAAGAAAGGGTTTCAATAGTGATTTTCATTTGACAGTAACATCATTTCAGAGTCCTATCTGAAACCTAGTTTAAAAGAGCTAATCCATTAGATAAAATCACCTAGGGTTTCACTGTCTGAACCTATTATCTCTATGACAGTTTTATCTTATCATTTGACCCCTTCCAAAGAGTACGAGAGTTTTCTTGTTCAGATAACCTGCTAACAATTTAATTTAAATTCAGCAAAAATGTCTACAAATGGAGACCACAGCATAAAATATTTTTATATTTATTACCACACCTCTCCTGCATTTCTCTGTCTCTGTGCTTTGATTATGTTCTTGGTTTCTTTTTTTAACTTCATAATCCCTGCTCATTTCTAAGTTGGCTTTCAGTGAACCAGCCCCTCCTCCCATGCACAAAGCTCCACCGGGCTCAGATAGAACGGCCCAGAGATGGCTGTGTCTGACAGCCAAGTGTCCACCGGCAAATCCTTTGACCCCAACACTGCCTCACTTTCTGGACAACTTCTTGGATGAATTGGAGAAGCTTAGTGATTTAACCTTATCAGCCAACCAAGCCAAACCAAATATCCTAGAGGAGACCATCCTTGAAATTAAGGAGGAAACCTCAGACCTCCTCCCCTTGCCTCCAGCCTCTGTACCTGCCAAATCTTCTTCTTCTCTGCTACCTTTGCCCCACTCAGGGGTGACCTCAGCTGCAGTCTGGCCTTTTGAGGCAACACCGCTTCAGGATACCAGAAAGACAACTCAGAACAAATGTGCAGATTTGACAAAAATACGAAAGGGCTTTGGAGGTCCTGAAAAAGTACCTGAAGTCCTGGGTGATAAGTTTGTGGCCTCCGCACACGCTAATATGGGTCCCTTGCCCAAAAGTCTCCCTGTCATCGGAGAGGAAGATGAGGATATCTATGAGGGGTTTATGTCAGGCACCAGAAGAGGGCCAGAGTCTCAAGAACCAGATGCTTTGTGGTGTGCCTGCGATGGCACAGAGGTGACACCAAGCCTGCACATTGAAGAGGAGGAAGAAGAGAGGAAAACTGACTGTTTAAAATATCCAGTAGCCACCCCCATAGACCCTAGGATATCTAAGGAAGACAACAGTGCAATGAAAACCAGTAATGAGGTATTTTAATCTTGCCTAATTACTGAAGAACTAACCAGTCTTACTATATTTAGCTAGTACAGTTAATCACATTACTAAACATCAATTTTGGCATTGCCCTAGAAGGCTTCCTCTTAAGAAACACAAACAGTGTGTAAGTTGGGGGTGGAGGAGTGTATGGAAACACACCAAATTTTAGTAAGATGATGTAAATGTATGATATAAGTCCATTAGTTATTTATGACTAGAAATTCATATTTTAAAGTCTATAATTTATAGTCTTCCTGATTTTTTGTTATTAATAATGTAGCTACATAGTTGAACTCTTAGTATCAGACAGTATTCTAAGAACTCTTCAGCAATGAAATGGGTTATATTATTAGCCCTACGTTAGAGATCAGAAAATTGATACACAGAGAGATGAGTCCATTT